CCCACTTCATACCTGGGAGCTGCCAAGCAGAGCCAGAGATTTCAGTTGCTAATCAGTGAGATGAAGCTAGAGCAGTTGGAGGATAAGAGGCTTGTTCAAGGGCACCTCCAGAGCAGTTATTGAGAGAGGCAACGGTGCTCCATGTTTTTAAAGTATGTCTGGTCATTTAAGCCTATGACCTTGAGGGCACTAACTTACTTGTCTGACCTTTAGATTGCTGTAGTCTCTCATTTGTTTCTGCCTAAATTCCTTATCAGTTGATGTTTGTGTGCAGACATAATGTGGGTGGAAGGTTAAGGGTGGTGGTATTGTCTTCGTTTGTGAGCGTGAAGGTGTGCATCAGACCTTTAAAATTCCATCTTTTCACTTCCTGGGCAGTGACAAAGACAGTGTGTGCAGAGCAGTGTGACGGTCGATGCTTTGGCCCTTACGTCAGCGACTGCTGCCATCGTGAGTGCGCCGGCGGCTGCTCGGGCCCCAAGGACACGGACTGCTTTGTACGTCAGACTGCACACAATCACATGCACACAGATTGTCTCACTCTTGTCATGATGCATCGACCAAAAAGCACAGTCACACATCTCTAGCCTCATTTCACTCACCACATCTTTGGTGCAACATCTGTTTGTCATCGTCTCTGCCCAAAAATGATCCACTTTGTTTACCAGCTGATAAATTATTTGTCACTTAACAGGGCTGTAAATGTCTGCACTCTTCAAAGAACAAATTGGTGATTCAGTGTTCCAATTAATATCCCTTTTATCACCTCAAGTTCTTGTTTCAGGAACTCCCACACAACACATGCACACCCTGACAGAGATGATATTGCAGTTGTAATTCATAGAAAGGCTCACGCAATTCAATTACTGTTGTTTCAGCCAGTGGCCACAGACGACAAAACACTTAAGAGGTTTATGGGAAAACACTTTACCATTTACATCATGGCTGTGGATCAATGGCTCCAATTTTTCTCCCATTTGGCACTCAAAGAGACAAGGGACCACTGCATGATCAATGTGTAACCATTTGAAGTAAAAATGAAATGCTGCTGCAATACTCTTTCACTCACATGGGTGTATGTGAGCAAATCCCAGTGCTCTCCTTGCCTCACCTTGCCATGTACTCCATGCCCCCTGAAGTCCTGCTAGTGTCTCCTGCCTTCAGTCGACTGTGGTCATGTGCTTTCTGCAGGCTTGCACCAACTTCAACGACAGCGGAGCATGTGTGACCCAGTGCCCTCAGCCATTTGTATACAACCCCACTTCTTTTCAGTTAGAGCACAACCCCAAAGCCAAGTACACCTATGGAGCCTTTTGTGTCAAGAAATGTCCACGTAAGTATACTTCAATTTGTAGGCAAATAAAGTTATAATTATGTTTTGTCATCTGTGCACTAGTGTCCACTGAAGAAGCATGATCATCCTTCTACCCTGAAATAAGACTCCCGACAAGTATTTCAAGCCAACTGAATTACTCAAATATAAAGAAATTGTGTATCTCAATTAACTAGTTGCTACACCATCTGCTTTAGCTGCTGGCAGCTGAAAAAAGCAAGTCATGCTTCTTTATTTCACAAATATGGAGTGTTGTAGTAATTCTGTAAGCATGGATTAAAAGTCAAGCTACATCAACAGATTGTGTAGTCAAGTTCCACTGATCTTCAAATAAGCAGACAGAAGCCTTTCTACTGTGGCTACCAAGTACTAATGCAATTCACTACTTTTGCTGAGCATTATAACCCTAGACCTTTAGTTTGGATCGTTACGCAAATGTGATTAAAATACTGTGAATTTCTCACCATTAGAGCGGTCCGTTTTGTTCCAAGTAAATGCAACACTTTGATTTTTATGGTTTTACATGATAAAATCTACAGTAGGTGTCAGGAAAAAGACATGGTGTCTACTATGAAGCAACTGAAGCTAATTAATACTCACTTTCTGACTGTATTTCTGTTAGATAATTTTGTTGTGGACCACAGCTCCTGTGTTAGAGCGTGTCCCAGCAACAAGATGGAAGTGGAGGAGAACCGAATCAAAATGTGCATCCCCTGTACCGACATCTGTCCCAAAGGTAAACCAGGTGGTGTCCATGTCTGTGATTGGAGATCCAAATTTTGAACTTGAATATGTTAAATATCATTGCATAAAACAGTACTGGAGTGGTTTTGTTGAAACTTGAATGAGAGAAGCATGTGGCACAGAGTTTTTCTGTTTGTAAAACATTGTTTGGTTTGATGGTTTCACTTTAAATAACTCGAAGTTTTACACTTTGAGTGACTTCTAACAACTATTACCTGCCCGGTTTAGCTTAAACTAGGAATGGTGTTGCATTGTATTACCCATCAGCCAAGGGACTGCTTGCATTAGTCATAACCAGTGCCCATTGCCTGGTGAGATTGTCAGATTTGTCTTGAAAGAAGCACACAAACAGACTCTGACACTCCACCCTGACACAGTTGGATATTACACAGAGAGAAAATATTGGACATATTAATCAGTAGAAAGGGACCATAATTCAGCGTATAATGTGGAAGTTATATTCAATAGTATGAAAATTAGGTTTATATTGATAATTCATCCATTTTCCTTGTACCCCCTACTTCCTGGTCCACTGCTCTGCATTTACTATATGTGCAAGAGCTTATGCAGATTTAATCTAATAGCCATATGCTAACAGTGATGAAAGTGGATCAGCAGTAGCCCACCAGAATGACTGTAAAAGCTTTACAGGAAATGTAATTTATTTTTTTAAGGGCACCAGTTTAGTTTTCATTATACTACACAAAATACACTTACAGCTGATTTAATGATTCTAATGTAATGCCACAAAATATGAAGATCTTTTGTACTGTAACTTCAGGGTAATAATACAGTACAATAAACCACCAGTGAACTCAACAACATACTGTACTCTGTATCAGATTATTCTGTTTTCACTAACCTGTCTTGTGTTTCAAAAGTATGCAGTTATTGCTTCAGAGATAATATTATTTATGCAGTTTTGTGTATATACAGTATATATATACAAATTAACTGTGTCAGCATGCTGTTCATCTTGTCTCCTCTTGCAACACTACTGCTGTGCAATTTTAAGTTATACTCATTACGTACTGGAGGATAAATATGACAAATATGGCATAAATGCAGGTAACATAATTGATTCCCATAACAGTCAACAAAGTAACTGACATGAAATGGTCCCATAAGGAGAAATTGTTCTTACCTGCTTTGTAATTACAGCTGTTTTTTTTATAAGAGCCTAAAATGTCAAGGTCAAGGTCAAACTGTTTATTTGGAAATGTGTTTCCCTGTACAATGAAATTCTTACTTTGCCGTCCACATGAATGCCACAAAATACAAATGAAATATAAAGTTGATGAATAAGTAACACAAAATCTAAGGCAATTTAATCAGAATCAGCTTTACTGGCCAGGTGTGTTAACAGCAGGATTGTTTTAGTATATTTACACCATGACCTACTGTAGATTGTTTTTATAGGAAAATGGACTGCTCCATGTCCAATCCAGAAATGGAAGTATTCTTTTGACCAAAGGTAGACTGTGCCCATGGGAGTGACAGGTTATGATTGTTGCTGCATTCAGAAAGCAGGGTTTGGATTTTAGCGCTGGATTGCAGGTATTGTGCATAATTTCATATGTAGTACTTGCAATGCGGGACATTCCCGAACTCATTTACAGCAATGTCAAAAAGTTGGTGTGCTCCAAAACCTGGCACGGTGCTGTTTGTGCCAGATGGGGTGGTCTCCATTCGTTTGAACTACGTTAGCATGGTGCCCGCCGGGCGGCCACGCCTTCTCACCCTCTTTACAAAACTACGTGTCCCCCCTGCTGTTGCAGCATCTCTCGCTGGCTTATATACTCAGGTTTTAATGATGTGAACGTGAAACTATGCGAACATGGGCCACTGGTTAGCATAGATCTACGTCAACGAAGTGAAACCCGCTCATAAAAAACACTGGAACCCAAAAGGACTAGCACAAACAGCAGTGCCAGTGATGGCAATGTTACTCCTCAGGGTCCTCGGGCAGGGGAATGGTAACATTACAAAGATGAAGCAACAATCCAAAGACGTTTCAGGATAATTGGCTCAGAATATATTCATGGCTTGAATTTAACAATGATTAAATGAGCTGCTCACTTTGTACAATGTCCGGTGCTGCACCTTTTACCTGCCGACGGCATTTCAGCATTGAAAATTTCATTTCAGAACTTGGCCCTCACTGAGAGCAGTTTTTTTTTAAGTTACCAAGTGGAAGAGACAGAGGACAAGGAAATAATAGATCATGGTGATGAGAGCAAAGGGAGCCACCAAAAGAAAGACTAAGGACACTGATGCAGCTCAAGAGAGGAGAAGGAGAAAGAAACAAATTACAGCAATGGTTCAGAGAATTTCTTAAATTGGAGCAGAGTGATGAAATGCAGTTTCAAGTAAGAAAAGGGCTAGGTAAGGACTAGGACCTGCAGTTAAGAGCACAGGTATTATCACCCACAGACTATATAAATCCCCCCTAATTAAGGGGAAAACACCAATGACACCAATTTCTAAATTTTAAGGATGACTCAGATTTCCCAGATGTCATGGATTAAAAATGCCTAACCTATTAAACATGGATTCCCATTTCTCCTCAGTCATCCAGTTCCAGTCATCAAATGCCCTTTGGGTCTTGAGTTAACAGGACAGGAGTGAAGCATCAGGGTCTTCTGCCACAGTGTCCATGCTTATACATGTACAAATCCATAATTGTATTGTGGTTTAGAAGAGACCAGATGACAGACAGTCTTATAAATGTCCTGATTATGTCAGGATGGCACATTTATGGACTCATTTGTCCACATGCAGCAGGACTCATGCCACTAAACAACTGAATCTGTTTATGTAGTCATCTTCCCCCAGTTTTTAGAATATTGCAGCACTTCTGAGACAAGCAGTCTAGTTTCTATGTAGACGCCTTAACACCATATGTAGTAGTTGAACATGTCATCTCAGCTCTATGCTTCACTATGCTGCTACAGCTGTTTCATTTCCTGAAAAAGCTTTCCACGGGATTTTGGAACATGGCTACAGAGATTAGCCCCAATTCAGCCACAAGAGCATTCGTGGGCTGACGCTTGGTCTTCCAGTTTGATGGTGTTCAGGTCAGGTCTCTGTGGAACCACCTCAGTCCTTGTTTTGTGCACAGGAGCACTGTCTCGTTCAACCAGGAAACAGTTTGCTGTATGTAGCAGTAGGATTTCCCATAAGTTAAACTCCACCTTCCAGAATGATCATAAAATCGAAGCGGCACTATTCTAACATTCATACATTAGTTTTAGCTAGGTGTTGTTGGTCTTTGGTTCTTGTTACCATTGCTAACTCTGAGAGACGAGACAGTCCAAGTAACTTCAAAACAGTGCTGATTTATTCAAAGGATCACAGGTAAAATTAACATTACACGCTCAGGTATCTTGCACCTCCAAACTGCTCGCAGGCAGATGTAAGATGAAAGACCCTGAACCCACCAGGCCTATACATTATATCCCTTCGGTTGGGCTAGCCCCATACTACCCAGAAACGTCAACCGAGACGTCTCTGTTTCTAATACATAAAGTATCTATCCAATTTCTATCTGACTAAAAATACCTAACATGATGTAGGAGTCTCCATTTTCCAGGTGAGAAAGGGAATAGTGGAGGGCAGCCATGATGGCATCTGATGGCGATGGCGATGTTTACTGTGAAATTAAACTGTATTACTCCAGATCAATACAGAAGATTAGGCGCTTCATCATATTGTTCTCACACAGGTAATTGGTCTGCCCTCTCTTTGGAGAGAAGACAATGGTGTTTCCCTTCTGGCTTCATATATGGACTGTGGCATCCAGTGATTGGCTAATCTTTTGATTACATCGTCACACAGCAGGGAGGGGTTAATGAAGGAGAACCCAAGGAACTGTGGGAAATGATAACAAATTAACATTTCAGATATGGAATTGGCTGGTATAAATCACTATCAAAAACTGGTTGCACCACTTAATGCCAGCCTTATTCATCATCCACTCCGCCTCTGTCAGAAATACTTGGCTCACATTAGACTGCAAGTGTAATTAATGCAGATGTAATGATTTTATTATAGCGAGGAATTGGCTGTGGATTGGCCCATGCTTTCATCAAAAGAATTCAATGCATGGAGAGAGACTGTGGCTTTCCTTGTACACCAAAATCAGAGGCATACATTCTTAAAAGAGTCTAAAGAATTAAAGTGACAAATAGTTAATAGCAGTTTTGCACAATCAGGTCTCATCTGTACAAGGACACTTTGGATATACACCACAACAGGCAATTTGTTAATACCTAAGCCAACTACAGTATTGATTATTTTGATCTCTACATGACTGTGTGTGCATTGCTTTTGTCAGTGTGTGATGGCATAGGGACAGGCAGCCTGCAGACAGCTCAGACAGTGGATGCCAGCAATATTAATAAATTTGTCAACTGCACCAAAATCAACGGCAACCTCATCTTCCTCATTACTGGCATTAATGGGTAAGTGACATTTTGAAACCACACACACATTTCATTTTCATATTTTGAATGGCAATGTAAGTTTAAGGAAAAAAACAATTAGCACTAGGATGCTGTTACACATCTAATTCAAAGGAATACTAATTGTATGAAATACAGCAGCAAACAGTTCTCCATCTATATCCACATTGTGTCAGAGAAAATCCAGCTTGGAAAGGTCAGTGCAGAGTCAATCAGAAACCACTGTCGAAGTGCCCTGTCAGGATAGAATGATGTGTAACCATAAATGCCACACAGCGCATTAGAGGAAAAGAGCATTCGGGCTTCAGTTTAAAGAATATACTGTATTTTATCTATGTTGCCTTCAGGTTTGCAGTACTAGAACCTTATTTACTTAGTATAGCAATATTGCAATAATGTCTTTGACTAAGATAGTATTCACTTTTCTGTGTGTTTCTACATTGTGTGTATTTCAGGGACATGTATCATGGTATTGGCCCTCTAGACCCAGATCATCTCAACGTGTTCCGCACTGTGAAAGAGATCACAGGTGAGACTGCCTCAGTGGAGTCACCGTGGAAAAACGGACTGAACAAAGCAATATTATTATGTGATGCTTGTGTGAATTATTTGGCCTCTGAGGCAGTAAAAGAAAGCTTTAAGTGGAAAGTAGAAAGATGATTTTTGTCAGTAAACTTTAAAAGGTGCTCTGGTGGATATGATATTAGTGTGTGTGTGTGTGTGTGTGTGTGTGTGTTGTCTGTCTGATAGTTATACGTGCTTACAGTATGTGCAATAGTTTGTGTGCGTGTGGATGCTTGTGTGTGTATATTTATTCATTAGCTATTAGGGTCCTTAAGGGATCAGCAGTACCTTGTATACAAACCCTTTTGTCATATTAGACTGCGAGTTGCATTTGAGCCAAGCAGCTAATGGAGTGAAACTGCATTTTCATAATGAAAACCCAAGCAATAAGAAAGAGCAATGACCATTCTTTCCCAGCCATTTCCTGCTCTATCCCTTTAATGTCATTTCCACAGATGCTGATTTGATAAAAATCTGTCATTAAAGGCAAGTGCAACCAGACAAATTGTGCAGAATATCAAATCCATTTTTTTAATTAGTGTGTATTGTCCTCTCCAAGCGTTGGCAACAAAGAATGGCTTTTGCTTAAACTTCACAAAAGCGGTGCAAGCACCATGAGCAAAGTTTGCAGTGATTTTTTTTTCTAAAATTTGGATAAATGTGACAGAAGGACTTTTTTTTATTCCACTACTTATTATTCCAATGTTCCTTTATTAAACACATCCTAGACTCCTTTTCTGTTTTAGTCAGTCTTCTTTTTCACTATTTTTACTAAAAAAAAATCTAAATTGTGTTAATTAGTGTATGTTTAACCCTTTGTCTTTGTCTTTAGGTTACCTCAACATCCAGTCTTGGCCTGAGAACATGACAGATCTGAGTGTTTTTTCCAACCTGGCAATCATTGGAGGCAGGTCTCTTTACAGGTATTGGAGAAGGCAGTCAAACACGTTCTTTTAGACACAGATTAGGCACCGTTAGTCTCTTTCTTCTAACTTTCCTGGTAAAGCAAAAAGGGTGATTCAGGATTGTTTTTCTTTTGTTCTGTTTTACCTTCCTCCTGTTTCCCCATTTTCTCATCCATATTGGGCCCTATTTTTCCTTTGTCTCATGATCTTTCCCCTTTTCTCCCTTTCCTTCCCCTCCTTTCTGTACCTCTCTGTCATTCTTTCCCATCTCACCCTTTACCTTGCTCTGCTCAGTTGTTCTTTCCCTTTTTGTCTTCCACATCATCATCCCTTCCTCCCGTTTGTTTATCCCTTCTTCTTTTCTACATTGTTCATATTTATTTCCAAATCTTTCTCAGTGCTTCTGATTGTTCCTTTCCTTTCAGACCACCCCCCCCATCTCTGTCTTCTTCCCACATCTCTCTCTTTATCTCCATTTGTTTAATTTTCTTTTATTTTTCCTTGTCTTTTGTCCTGCAGTGGAAGTGGTATATCTCTGTTGATCCTGAAGCAGCGTTGGATTTCCTCCCTTCAGTTCCAGTCGTTGGATGAGATCAGTGCTGGTAATGTTTACATCTTCAATAACAGTCGTTTATGCTACTACAACACTGTCAACTGGACATCACTCTTCAGGACGCCAAACCAGAAGGTGCTCATCCGCAACAACCGAGATCCAAAGGAATGCAGTGAGTAATGGTGGAGGGATGTAGGATAGGTTTCATTCCAAATTGTTGAGCACTTGCAAAAATCTGCACATTTTGAGGGTAGTATCTATTTATTGTTATTTATTTTATTTCTTTATATTTTTGCAGGGACACATGCAACTAAACATTGTTACAGTCAAACGACTCAGCGCATATGGGGCATCTAGCAAAATGCTCATTTAAAGCCTTTGTCCCTTATTAGGTTCAAATATCCAAGAACAAATAGCTTAATAGACAAAACCAGCTTAAACCAGCAACATCTTACCCAGAGGTTACTCTGTGTTTTAACTAGAACTAGTTATTTTTTTTATGTCAAGCTGATTATTTAGGATAAACGGCCTCTTATTTATTTGACTACTATGCAACACTTCACTGGAAAAATACTGTCCTATCTATCAAAAGTTAATAAATTGTTAATAAATATAATACATTTAAATGTGGAGTTCACAAAGCTGTGAGAATAATGCCACATTCCTGCTGATTTAAGCCCCTCAATGATTGCCTCATTTACCCAAAATGTAATAAATTCAGACAAATGAAAAGTCACCTGAGCAACTGAAACCCTTCATTGACAGCTGATTAAATTCCCCACTTCCACAGAGCCACCAAGCAGAAGATATACAGTCATTTGCAAAGCACATTTCCTGAAAACACATAACATGGTCTCAAGTTTAAGTTTGGCTCATGCAGTTAATTTTATGGAGACAGATGCTTTGTAGAGTGAGAAAAAGTGTCGCTGTTTTCAGTTTGGACATTTAAGAATAAGACTTTTGTATATACTTTATGTTGGAATAATTCAAGAAAAGCCTTCACTGCCAGAGGAAACACCCACACAATCTTTTATTTTAACACCTATCAGATCCTCCTTTTCTCTTATTTTTTCTCCTGTTAGCTCTCTAATTAATTCCAAACTTAGATTCCCTGCATATCTCTGCAGATCCAGCTCCAGTCAAGCTTTACACATGCCTCAAAAGCTGTTATTCAGCTTCCTGCAAGAAAAATGCTTGGTGTATCATGCACAGCAGTGAATTAAGCTGAACACTAGCCTTAGGAAAGTAGACATGTGATAGATCAGGAAATAGTCTACATGTGGTTTATCTATACATAGTGGAATCTGACCACAGAGTCCTGACCAAATAGAAGAAGGAAGAGCATTTTAAAAAGATATATTAGTCGTATTATTCCTCAGGAACCATGCTTTGATCATGTTTAGATTTTTTACTCATGTACATGTGTGTTTGCCACTAACACTCACTATGGCAGAGTGAGATACATAAAAAAAAAAATACCCACACACCAACCACCGCAGTTTTTCTTGGCCCTGCCAGGCTGTATTTCATAACATTAACCAGTTAATGAACAGTGTATGTGTTAGAGATCGATTGATGTGGCCTTACATTGGCATCTTCAACCCCCTGCCCCCACTGGGCAACACTAAGAGATGGGTGTCACTCACCAGTTGAGGGGGCATCAGTGGTTGCGGTTCCAGTGGGAACAGAGTTCTTGTTGGGCTGGCCATTAATGGAAGAGGTGTGGGGGATACTGATGTTTACTCACACAACACAACAAGGAGATGTACACATGTACAGGCACCAATGCTAACTTCTAGGCAGGAAAAATAGACACACACACACACACACACACACACACATATTTGTGGCAAGTGAAAATAAGCACATAAATCCAATCTACACATTAAACTGTTCCTAATGAATCATTTTAAGATATATTTCACTTTGTTCCTGCATAGTGTTGGTCCGTTCAGTTGTATCCTAGTTCCAGAATTCTTGAATTGTATTGTGTGCGTGGATGTGTATCTGTAGGCTGCAGTAGTGTGTGTCTGTGAAATGTACTGTATGTCTGCATGAGTAAATGTCTTTTGGCATTTGAGCAGTGGTATTTGCTTATTTATTTTTATAGCTATTTATTTACCGTCTTTCTCACCATAGCTCAGCAGCAAATGGTGTGTGACCGCATGTGTTCAGACGACGGTTGCTGGGGTCCGGGGCCCAACCAGTGTCTTTCCTGCAGATATTTCAGGCGAGGTCGCACATGCGTTGAGTCCTGCAACCTCTTTGATGGGTGAGTAGCTCTGTTTTGATGTGTTCTGGCCAGATGTTTTACAAGTTGAGTGTTGGAGCTGATTTTTCACAAAACTTTAAAATTACTCCTGAAAATTTGAATTTTCTGGAATGTCAGATCATTATACTTGCAGGAGACTGTGTTAATTCCCATGCGAACAGCAACACATGACAAGCAGTGGAAATGAAATCAATTTAAACAGCTTTGATGCATGAAAATGAAGTCAAAACATCCTCAAGGGCTTGAGGAGGAGGAGAGTCTAATTGCCAATTGGAATGAATGTAATGAGATCAACCAATAAAGGATTTCACACTGTGAACAGTTAATGTGAACAGTTAAAGGAACATTTGGCTGCGTGTTACATCTGTTGTCCAAAAATCAATTTGAATATATTGTTGAAGTATGATTGCCCGTAATGGTTGGCAGACGTGAGTGTTTACTGCTCTGAGCTGGGATGTGACTGACATTTGCGACCGAGGCTCTTTGAGTGCCCTCACAATCCACTGATGTTTTGTTTTCAGTGTGAATAATCACATTCAGGCCATTGCTTTATGCTGCCAAGAGGCACATCAAAAAGATCACTGCCAGCTCACCTGGGGAAAAACACTTCTTTATAGATGTAGATTTTAGCCTTTTGTGCTACTCTTGAATGAACAAGGAGATGCTGTGAATCACAACACTAAAATAAGACCATCAACATCTACCACAAGATAAATATTACTCTTCTTGCAAATAGTAATGTCAAGGTAGGCTTTTCCTCAGGGGAAGTGGAGTGAGTGCATGCATGTGTGCAAGAGAGAGTGTCTGCGAGCGAACAACCCTCGGTCATGTTGACTTGTTGCTGGTTCTTTCCCAGCACAGTTTGTGGGAGGGAAGCTTTGTAGTTGCAGGGAAAAGCAGCTCACAGCGAAGGCTTTGCAAAAGACTGTCGAGAGAAAGGCGTGTGGCAGGGAGCTGCTGAAGCACACTTCTTTTCTATACTGTAAATACAGTCAGTCACTTTGATGCATTATAAGTAACATTCGACAGGCCGCTTCTCGTTTTGTGTCATTTGACTGAACTGCAGAATCAAAATGTCCATAAACTACGGGTCATAGCCCTATAAGTCACTGCCTGCCAACCAACAGACCACAAATAACGATCACAGTTTCTTGAGCACAGTGGAGGCTAAATTCAATTAGATTAGCATCAGGAATTTGAAACTAATATTTATACAATATATTACTAGAACTATTCAGTACCAAAGCTCATTATTTCTGTCAGAAAGAGCAGACAAGCCTGTTCTTTTGCACTGAATATAATGTTTGCTGCAATAACTGTCACCAAAAATAAAATGGTAAACTTCATCTCAGCATATACAGTAGGAGTGGAGGCTGCTGTACATCTAAATATAACACCACAGACACAGAGAAACAGTTTCAGCTGTTTCTTATTTTACAAGACAATAGATTTTATCTGTTCCTTTGGTCCATATAAACTTTAGAGTTTAATTTAAAAAGTTGCTCTGATTGGTTTGTCAAGCTCTGGCTTGCTGGAGGTTTGGAGGTCCGAATGGTGACCATAGTCCTGCTTAAATTCCTGCTAGAACAGGGCTAATCCCCAATCGGAACATCCCCAATGGTGCACACTTCCAGCCATGAAGGGGGCCAATCAGGAGGAACGACTTTGGCTGAATGGAAATGACCCTAGAGAGCACAGCTGCAGAGCTTTGTCTCACACACTCGCCTTTTCCTCTTTCAACAAAAGCAATATCTCTTTACTGCCTGGGCCCTTTTCTAAAGGGTTCCCCTGGACAAAGCTTCCAGGAGAGAAATCTAATTTATTTTGGAACAAGGGAAGTAATGACAAGGGAGAAATGCAAAGAGAGCAATAGGAGTCTCTTTTGAGTCCACTGAAACATTATTAACAAAAGGACACTATGATACTGTCTGTTTGGATGTTTGAGACAACTGCTGTGAACTTGATGAGGCATTTAGAACATTCAGAGAAACATGCTGAGACATCAAGATTAGGATAAGTAAAATTTGGGATTTTATTTTCACTTTTATTGCCTTTTAATTTAACACAGATCAACTCAGGAGTGTCAGAATATGTCTTTTGTTTTTGTAGCCTTTGAACAACTAAGTCTAAAACATTTTCATCCGATACCACATGAAAATGGAAAAGATACATTATACCTCCAGGGGATCAGAATTTATCAGTGCAAGATCACATAAAATCTCACAAGGAAGAATATATTAAATCTTTGTTCCACCCTAGTGGCGTCACATGCAAATGCAAACAAAACACACAGTGTCACTCTCGTTATCCCACCATCGGGCAAACCCTTCTCTGAAGGTGTCTGTTGTCTGCATCGGCTAATCGATCCCTCTCAGTGTTTTTGATTGGCAGAAGTAATTATTGACAGCAGCCTGCTCGGCAGAGACGCCTCACTTCAGAAACAAAGATAATGCGCTGATTTGGACACAAACAAAGGAGAAATGTATCAAGTGGATGCACACACACACACACGCAGACACCTCCACACATAGACACATGGTGTATATAAGGATTCGACAGCGTGGCCTGAGGCAGTGCTCAGCTCCTGCCGGTGTAATTGCAGTGTATAAGCCCAATATTGAGATATATTGTTTTCCTCTATTCCTTCAGAAGTCTAAGTGGAAAAACAAAGCCATCATGAACTACAGTACATGGATCTCTCTAACTGGCTAATAAAAGGGTCTGGTGGAACTCCTACCAGTTGCACAAACCGCAGTGATTTGATAACAGGATAAAAAGCAATTTCTTTGACATTTCTTTTTTCTTCTCTGTTTGCCTTTCTTAACCTGTTTTCCTCTCACCCTCATATGCTCCCTCTGTTTTTCCCCCTTCACTTTATCCAAGGCAGACTCCTGTCCCTGCCTGCTCCCTGGCCTTTTCTGCCCTCCTACCAGTTTTCTTATATTCCACCTCCCTTCACACATCCCCTCGTGTTTGCCCATGATTTGAAAAGCTGTTCATTATTCATGGGCCTTCTCTGTTAGCATATTGACCATACTATGCTTTTAACTTGATCATGCCCTTCATGCTCCTTTACCAGTGGGCTCGCTAGCAGTCAGAGCAATCTTGGAGATGAGCACGAGTAAATGGAGATTTAACCTTACTTTCATGATATCGCATGTTAGTTTAAAATCAAAAGACTTTGTGCCCATATGAGCAGCCTTCCTCGGCAAGCTCTGGATCAATATTTCAATGTGGGTACGCTCTCAAATCTATAATACATGCACCTCTATTTCAATTTCCCTATCTCTATCAGGGAAGTACGTGAGTTTGCCAATGGATCTGTGTGTCTGGAGTGTGATAACCAGTGTGAGAAGATGGATGGGAATGCCATGACATGTCTTGGCCAGGTAAGACCTTGAATTCACTTCAGATACCTCTCAAACTCAACTTCCTTTTTTACTTAATGATACTTTCTAGAAGTAGACTTTTCACTCATTTTTTGTGCAAGTTGGTTTCATATCTTGTGTGCTCTAAAGGGGATTTACACCTTATTTTGTGGGAGTCTATCTGTTTTGTGCACAGCATTTCAGAAGAAACAAGTGCAGTGTTCATAAAGGTGAATGGTAGGTTAATGGGTGGAATGATAAACTACTGTAGCTACCTTAAGAGGCATGCTTTTGGCAAGCACACACACAGACACACAAAACAGCAAAGTGAGATTAGTTTCTGACCTTCCCATAAAGTCACTTTTAGTCTCAGATGTGATCACACCACAACTATCCAAAAGGTGTTTTCCTTTTGAGCTTTTTTCTTTGTGAAATACTGGAATTTTTGGCTCATCCGGCCTGTAAAAAATAAGAAAATAAATCACTCTTGGAAAAAAAATATCTAGTGATAACAATTTGCAGGCATGTGCAACATGATGAGAGGCTACAAGCTGATATTACTTTACTTTAAAGATTAAGACTAACGGTACTGTAGTAATATTATACAATCACCATCGGTTGAGTCGGCGCCGCAGATGGCTGCCATTGGTTCTGTACTGGAAACAAATTCCTTGTGTGTAACATACTTGGCCAATAAAAGGTGATTATCCTTATCCTTATTAAATCCCCTGAAAACACCAAAGTGGACGAGTTGTGCGAGTAACCGTTTAGGACCGTCCCTGGAGAAAGAGCAAAAGAGGGGAAAAGCAATGGAGAGAGAGAGAGAGAGAGACTTCTCAAGGATGCACAGAGGCTACAGACTTTGAGATGCTGGTCACAGTTGAGTAGCAAATAACACCAAGAGTCAATCATCCACAGGCGCTCTCACACACAAATACACATGCAAATGGCATACTTGAATGCATTCAGACATCGGCATGCATACACTCTTGCGCTTGCACACATGCATACACACAAACATGCAAAGTGAGAATAATGTTTATTGATGACGTGTGACTGAATGTGTCAAAGTGTGAGAAGCTGTCCATCAGGTAGTCTCCCAGCTCCCAGAATGCTGCAGTGCTTCTTGACAACAGCTCCTGCATACACACGCACACAAACACACCCACTTTTTCACACATTAGTCAACATCCTCATTACTTTAGACACATACACAAACATGTACATGAAGTACATGTACAGTTTTTTCCTTATGCTGCTTTCCTACACATGCACAAAGACTGCTAGCCATCATGCTTCTTCATTATTTTGCTGCGTCTGAGGTCAAGCTCAGTTATCACTTGTCATCTTCTCCATCACGTTTGATGTCGTACTTTAACATGACTCGATTCCTTATGCATTTTGCCAGTTTTAATATTTTGAATATGTTCTATTCAAAACATTATACATCACTGGAATGTAATTCATGTGGTGTCCTGCTAGCTGGTAGCACACTGTGACATTAGCAGTGGTAGCAAGTGAACAAATTGACAGGTTTAAATTTGATTCTGTTCATTTCACCTCTGTGCTCTCATATATTTTTCTGTCTCTTCATTCTTTCCTCTTCCTTTATCCCATTCTCTTTTCCATAACTTAATTTTTCCCTGCTGTTTCCTTCACCTCTTTGCCCATCATTTTGTTCCACATTTCTTTTTCTCTGTGTTCATTTTCCCTTTTCCCTTTTAATAATCAATTTACCTCATGCTCCACCTCTTTTTCTTTTTTCATCTCATGTGCACCACCTCCTTCTAACCCATCTTACCGCCCCTGCTGCGTGTTCTGCTCTGCTCTCAGGGCCCGGACCAATGTGTAAAATGCCTCCACTTCAAAGATGGACCCAACTGTGTGGAGAAGTGCCCTGATGGGTTGCAGGGGGCCAACAGTTTCATCTTCAAATACGCCAAGGCCAACAACGAGTGTCATCCCTGCCATGCCAACTGCACCCAGGGGTAAAATAAGAGCGATGCATAAATGTGTGTGCATGTGTTAAAGCATTTCTTTTGAAGTTTTTACTTGCTTTCGTAGTTTCTTGAGTGTCCTCCAGCTAGGTGCTTTTATGGTGTTCAACGCATCATGACGACATGCTGCTTGCACACGGGTATCCTCGTGGACATGCAACACCTCCCTTTCAACAAGTGGGAGAAAGACAAACTGACAGACAGAGAGAAGACGCCTTAATCATGCAGCCACTTGAGTCCCTGGCTTGTAGCTTGAAGACAGTGGGACAATGTAAGATGAGAAAGACAGAAAGAAAAGTATATTTAAAGTCAGAAATCAAAACATTGAGTGGTACAAACAGTCTTCCAAATGGGCATTCAGTTTATCATAAACACAGTTCTTAGGGAAGATTCAGAAGGTCCAAAGTTACCTCATTATAGGGGGATTTTGTCACTACACGACAGAAGTCCCTTTGTATGGCATTGTTAGCAAATCAAAGAGATTAGCTTATTCTGCATACACTGGAACAATAAAGAGAAAACTTGTCAGTGTTCTCAGCAAGCAAAGTTAGACATCTGAAAGCTCACAACAGAGAGACAGAGGTGGAAAAAACAGTTAATGTGCTGTCTCTTAAATAGCAGGAAGTGATTTTATTTTACTGCAACTACACTGTAAATGTTGATAATATCAGTGCAGCTTTAAAGAACCAAAGGAGACAAGAGGTAAAGAAGGTAAACAGAGATTAAGAGGAGGCTATGGCCATAAAAGTAAAAAGAGGAGAAAAACAATGAAACAAAGCTAGGAAGCTGAGGAAAGGATAAAGAGGAGGGTATATTTATTCCATGACAGCTTTCATTCACACAGATTCACTGACTCTGTGAACACTAATCTGTTGTTGGCATGACAGCACCTCCATCTTACCTTGTCATCTTATCCTGCCCTCTAGCCACAGGGTACTCTGGATCATCATCAAGGTAGAAACTAAGGCAGGGTTTTTATGGTACGAGGCAAAGTAAGACAGTAAAAAGGTCAGAGGGCATTGCTGGGAACAAAACAGCACCTCCAGAACGTGTAAAAAGTCAGTATCATGTTAAAAGACAAATGATTAAACCAGAAGCCTCATTACTCAACCTTACTGACAGTAAAAGCAATAGATACTGTAGTGATAAAAAGATGTGGCATTACAAAAAAAAGCAATAGATAGTGATAAAAAGATGTGGCATTACAAAAAAAGAAGTTTGTGCATTGTACCTGCCTGGTGATGTTTACTTAAGATCACTCCTTTGTTCTCTTCTTGATTCAAGAAGGAACCTGTGCGGCTCATGTGCACGCACACATCCACACACACAGGCTGGATGTAGACATTGATTGCTCTCTAATTAGCTATTTGGTACACCATTTAATTGACATCGAAGCCGCTTTGGAGGAGCTACCGTTGTCACCGATTTAATTCCAAAGTTAGCCTGCTCTTCTAATTTGCTATGTAATTTGTTGTGTCTTGTGTGTGCGCACACACTCAATGCACACATGGCGAAGAATTCAAAAACTGTTCTCCTGTGTCTATCCTGCTGTTCAAAGGCCTCCACTCAAGGAATGAGAATTAATGAGCAACTAAGAGTCTGTTGTAATCACTTCCTGATTACCTAATGTTAAAAAGGTGATGGAAGCACTACCAGCACTACATTCCAGTGGCTTTGATTGTTGAGGTATAAGAAAAAAAAGATGTATAGCAAGTGTTTTTGTACAGTATTTGGGGAAAAAAGGTGATTGTTAAAGAAGCTGAATCTTTAAGGTTTTGATGGAAGTGGCCGCAGAGGAAATTCACTCTACAAGGACAGCAGGAGGAAAACGAGGATTATAATAGCAAAAAATAAATAAAAATGGCATGTACAGCATGCCAGGTAGAATTTATCTGCTGTACTCATTTCTCTTGGCTTGCATGTTAGACTAAAGCAGCTGTGATGGGGATGTATTTGGCTAATAACACCTCCACCCCTAGAAGGCTCCATAGTAAACCCAGAATACATTCATTTACATGCCACCTACATTAACCTGACACTGCATCTACACCTAGGCCAGTATTTTTCAGCCTTGTGTCTGTGTCTCTGCTATGAAAGTGAAGTAAGGGACAAATACTCAATGGCAGAATGAATGGCCCTACTGAGTCTTTTATCCTGAAGTCACTATGATTTTCTAAAGAAGATATTGTTTTTCGGATTGAAAAGGTGCTTTAGTTTTCTTTGCCTCTTTTTTGATAATTTCCCCAAAGGTTTAAACAGTAATCCATTCAAAATTTGTTCAGAGAACTAAATGAGTTAGGACGTTGTGTTAGTTTTGTTATTGCTGTTGTTGGTTGTTTGTTTGTTTGTTTGCTTGCTTTTTTTTGTTACATGAAACACAGAATAACAATTTCCCATGTTCCCATCCAAGCGCGTCCTCCTGTCATCTTGACAAGTGGTCAGCCATGCTCGAGATTCAATTTTCCACAGGTCCCTGCCCAGTGACAGCTGATTGACGTGGAAGAAAGGATGCCATGAGATTTACTCATAACCTGTCCCTGATTTAATGGATGATCTTTCTGGTTTGTCTGCCCTGCAGGTGTGTCGGGCCAAGACTCCAAGATTGTGTTGGGATGATGGACAGGTAAGGGATCTCACGGTACATTTGTAATGTGGGACTGGGAGACCACCATCAGTTTCTGCCACTATTCATTACAGTCTCTATTAAAAACTGTCTCTCATCATATTTATTAACAACTCAGGCAGCATAGCATCAGTTTTGCAGTCTACATTTGACAGATAACAGTTTTTTGGGGGGTTTCTTGGTTTGTCTGATCTGTGCCTATTTGTGGTCTAATTTGTGTCATACTTTGGACATATGGTGTCAGTGAAACCCCATTTAACCTTATTTTATGGAGTAAATTTGTTATTTATAAACTTTTATTACTATTACTGTAGTCATACTTTTTGTTTCTTCAGCCGTTCCTGGTAGGCTAGTGGTTAAGGCGCAGCGCTCTCACCGCTGCAGCCAGGGTTTGAATCAGGGTTGCGTCAGGAAGGGCATCCGGCGTAAAACACGTGCCAAATGTCAACATGCAAGTCATCAGTGTGACGATTTGCTGTGGCGACCCCTAAACGGGAAAAGCCGAAAGTGACTTTCTTACTGTAGTCATACTTTTTCTTTGTGACAGTAATACAGCTAGTGGTGGTTATAATGAAGTAAAAGTAATACTAGTGGCATAACAGCCTTACTTGTGCTACTTGTATATTATTAAGTCTTCCACTACTGATAATACAGCAGGAGCTAAAAACTTCAGGCTTTAAAAGGCCTAAAAATGCATTTTCCTAGTCACTGAATTAGTCTCGCTATTTCTGATATATGTGATTGGTACTAAAAATAACTGTCATGCAGTTAATGCCAAATAAATCTAGTTGGATTTCTTTTCTTTCAAAAGTACAGTGACATCTCAAAAACACTCTAGGGTTAATAAATAATACTTAGATAGTTTTTTAAAAATGTATTTTTAGTCATGACTACCTCAAGGATATGTTTGACATATATAGAAATGATTTGAGGCCATGTCTTCAGCGGTTTTAGAATTGACTTGGACTTTGCTGCTGTGGAACTTGACTTTCTCCAGATTTATCTCCCTAACAAAGTGAGACTTCAAAGAGTTAACATTCGAAAGCACGTTCAAAGGTACAGTGAAATCACTTTTGACACAGTTTTCAAAAGAAAATTAGAGGCTTGACACCAAAGATTTAAATAATGCTTGCGGAATTATTGTTCTACTTCATCTACTACCAATGCCTCCGATAATGCTTCAGTTGTAGTGATATCATTAAGACGAAATAAAACAAGAATTAACAGAAAGTATAGTGGTGTATCTGAACAGTCTCACAAAATAAATGGCCTGAAGACACAACTCTATTAAAACACCCATAAAAAGAAGTGTTCTTTACAATTAGAGCAAGTTCCAAAGAGTGACAAACTCATTTGAATTTAACCAAACCACCAAACCCATAAGAATGGGTCCTGAGCTGCTTTTAAACAGAGGAAACTGAAATGAGACCCTTTTGCTTTCCTCTGGGAGGTTTCCTTTGAGACTCATTGTTCTTTTGCTCTTACAATGGCTTTATTCCCCCATCTCATCTGGTGACCCTGTGTTGCCTGTTCTGCTGTAAAGCCTTTCCTCCTAATTAGAGAAGTCCTTTCCCTTGTCTCTCACCTAGGTGCTGTTATTTGTTTTCCTTCTGCTCCCTGCCTTTTTCTTCCCTTCTCCCTTGTCTCCTGGACTATATGTAAATTTGTCTTTCTCTTCCCTTTGCTCCCTTTTCAGATGCTTTTCTTGTGTTTTCTTGTTCTTGTTTCTTTTCTTCATCCATGTCTTTTCATTTCGCCCCATAAGGTTCATTCTATTGTCATTGTTTCTCTTTGTCACTCTACCCCCTCTTGACCTAATCATTCCAAACTGCTGCATTTCAATTCAGTACGGACTTGTATATCTCATTATGCTGAAACCCAGAACCTCTTTGTAAATTTCAAGCTTCCCCTTCTTTACATAGTTCAGTCACGATCAATATTGCAAATGCTGCTGTACCTTGCTCTACCATAGCTCCGTGGTACATAAATCCTCCATTAGCTGCTAATGGCCTCTACAGCCAATAGCGTCTCGACTTCCAAGTATCAGGTAGAAGTGGGCGTTATTTTATGCTCCAGAACATGGTTGTATTGTGTTTAAATAAATAAATAAATAAAATAAGGGCACAGACGACTCTGGCACTG